TTTTTTTAGCAAATGTTAAAGTGATTGTGAATACTACTCCATGTATTTCTGCCCAAGCACTTATCTCTTAATACACTGACATATATAGATACACCAACCTTATATGCAAATCAATAAAAGGTTATAAGTGTGTGTGTATTCAGCATCGTACATTACACACATATACAGTCATGAGACTCTCAGGCCTGAGGGAAGGGCACGGCTTTCCTCATATGTCTTAACTGTCCCCCTTTCTCAGCCTCTTATTCAGTCACCTTAAAAACACACTTTGTTAATGTAATTCCATGTTATTTAGATCATAGGTGACAGAACAATCATGTGGGTGTGATCCCTTTTAAGATGCTCATGTTTCAGACATTACAGTTTATAGATACACGCACTAATGTCAGAGCACATATCATTGACATCATGTTCTTGTGTTTAATACTTTGGTACAATTAATACTTAATACTGTGGCGCGTTCTGCCCCCAACATTATTTTTTCCAGTATATTAAATAAACAATTGAAATTTTTTTTTTTTTCAATTTTCAGCTTAAATGTGCTAATTAAGGAAAAACAGAATTCACTAAAATGATAGATTTTGTTCTTCCAAACTAAAAGCAGGGACGCTACTATCTACTATCACAAAACTTGCTTTTCTTAGTGGGACACTATGACAAAACATCACACTGTACTGTGCACAGCTTTGCAACAAAGTTGAACAATAATGAAACACGCCCCTCTAGAATTTCCACTCTCAAGGAAATTTCACTATCAAGTAGCTTTGGGAAGAACGATTCATTTTAGCTAACTGAAGTGACTGGCACCCCTTTTACCTTGACATATTTGGCATAGAGTTGCTCGTCCAGAGGGAAGCTCTGTACCGTGCGTTCATCACGGGCGTGAAAGGTGCCCAGCTTGATCCACTTATTGGTCGGATACCTGAATTTGAGAAACAATTTTTAAAGAAAAGGTTAAGTTGGTGTTTATATAACGCAGTCTCCCAACCAGTCACAAAGTGATAAGATTTTAGCAACATGCAATTTGTCTGTTCACACCAAATGTGGAATGACACAATCAACACCAACCACAACATATTCAGTGTTTAATGTGAGACAGGATTTGGGACAAATTAGATTTCACTGCAATCTGTGAAATGTGCTGTGGTTGGCCAGGACAGAAACTCATATTGCATTGTACGTCTATGTGAGTGATGTTACCTGTCACTTATAGACACAAGGAAATCTTTTGGTGTAGAGGAGAACAACTCAAAGTTTGCAATATCCAGCTGCTTCACCTGGATTGGCTCACAGAGCTCAATAACAAACCTGTATTTGAAGATACGATAGAGATAGAGGAAAGATAGAGGAACCAAAGGGGAAATTAATGTATTTTTATTTATATTTTAGATGCCATGACTCGTCACTATTTCTTT